GAGTGACAGATTGGACAAGGGGGGGAAAACTCATAATCTGTTGCTTGCAAGAAATACCCCTAAACAACAAAGATATATAGAATAAAAATGAGGGGCTATAACAAAATTTACTATGTATCAGGTGAATCAAAAAAAAAAGCAGGAATTGCAATGGTGCTCACAAGCAAAGCAAAAAAAAAAAAAAAAGATAAAAGGAACCATAGACAGCAAGCATATCAATATTAAACTTACATGCTCCAACTGTGTTAGTATATAAACTCATAAAGGAAAGATTAGCTAAACTATTAAAAGACACAGACTGGATTTCAATGTACCTCTAAATTTTGGATATAACAGAAATATAAACAAAAGGGAAAATATAGAATTGAACAAATTGCTGGAGAAATTAGAGCTAAAATATTTATGATATTTTCTAAATTGGACTGCTAAAGAATATGCATGTTGCTCAGTGCTACATGGAGTTTTAACAAAAAATGGTTATAGTAAGGCATAGAGATATTTCCAACAAATGAAAAAGCCAAACATGCTAAACGACCGTACTGCAATAAAAAATCGTAATCAGTTCAGGGAACATAAACAAAGGACACACTTAAATGAAGACGTAACAATGAAATCCTAAAATATGAGTGAGTCAAAGAACAAATCATAGAAACAATTAATAATTAGGTGAAAGAAAATGAAAATGATAAAACAACATGCCAACATTTCTGGGATGCAACTAAATTGGAGGACTCTCAGAGGCGAAAAACAATCACATTTTTATAAAACAGAAAAAGAGAGAATTAGTGAATTTAATATGCATTTAAAATTAGAAAGTCAAAACATAAGTAAATAAACTGGAAGCAAAAATATCAATGTAGAGATAATAGATATAACTAAAAGCTGATTCTTTGAAATGGCTAATAGAATTGAATTGTAAGGATGAAAAAAGCAGAGGTAGGAAAATAATTGCACAAAGGTGACAACAATTTAAATGGAAAAAACAAACAGAAAGTCTAAACCCGAATGCTGTGTAATTGTAATGACTAAGCTTACCCCTAAAGAAGAGAGAGTAAGATGTACTTTCCACCCTTCTTTCTTGAGGTGGGGAAATAGGGGAGTGGAACATTGAATATACTGTCAGACTTGATTAGTTTTACTGAACTGCTTTTTGTTTCCTCTTTGTTGCAAGATTTTGATCTCTAAGGGGTGGTAACAAGGATACATTTAGAACTAAAATTGATATAAAAATCAAATGAATCAAGAAAACATTCTAAAAAAATTGCCAATCATTGAGAAGTGGCCTGGTTAGTAGAAGGACCATAGGAGTTTAAATTCCAGAGAACTTGGCAAAATTGAGGGTAGTGAGATGGGGAGGAAATCCTTTGTACAAACTCCTTTTACCTTAAGAGCTGATGCCTTTCAGGGACCTTCCAAGGAGCTGTAACTAAGGACTCCCACTTTCTAACATTTGCAGTGAAAATGGGATGAACAGGAAAGGATCAGAGGTGGTTCTAAGTTTTTGAGGACCACAGACAACAAGAATTTCGAAGCTGAAAGGGACCTTACTCTAACCATTCAACCTATGCTAGAAACAGCTCTATAATGCCCTGTTCAACTTGGAAATTGAATTTTAACTCTCAGATTAACAACCCAGTGGCCAGGATGACTTTTATTCACAGAAAAAGTTTTTCCCAGTCTCCTTGAAAGTCAATGTAATTCAACAAATTCTTTTAAGGGACCTACATTATGTAAGCCTCAGTAATCAGGTAGGTAGTACAGTGAAGCAAGAACTAGATTTGGAGTCAGGAAGACCTAAGTTCAAATCCAGCCCTAGATGTTAATTAGCTGTGTCACTCTAACTTCTGGCTGCCTTAGTTTTCCCATGTGTAGAAAGGGAGTAATAATAGTACCTTCCGACTAGGATTGTTCTTAAGAGATATTTGTAATGTGCTTTGTAAACCTTAAAGTACTATATGATGCTAACTATTATTATTAAGCCATTGTGCTAAATCTTAGGAATACAGAAGCAAATATTAAGAACCCCCAAACCGCTTATGGTCTCATAGAGTTTATATTCTGGGGAGGGAAGGGGAAATATATATATGTGTGTGTGTGTATATATATATGTATATATATATACGTATATATATGTATATATGTATATATGTATATATATATGTATATATATACATATATATGTATATATATGTATATATGTATGTATATAATATACATATATATGTGTATATATGTGTATATATATATGTATATATATATGTATATATATACATATATATGTGTATATATATATGTATATATACATATATATGTATATATGTATATATGTATATATATGTATATATGTATATATATGTATATATATACACACATATATACATATATATATAAAAGTATATCAATGATTAATATTAATAAAATTCCTAATATACAAGCATATTGAGGTACTTTGAAGAGGGAGAGGGCACCAAGGACCAAAGGAACCAGGAAGGGCTTTCCATGGGAGTAGCCCTTCAGTTGAGCTTTAAAAGAATCTTGGGATTTTGAGAGGCAAAATGGAGGAGGGGTGCCCACAGGTATGGGAAGAGGGAAGAGAAAAAGATAGGAGATAGAATGCTGCGTGCTAGAAGCAGCAAACTGGTCAAGTTGGCCAGAATGTAGAGTCAATGAAAGGGAATAAGATGAGCTAGGTCTGGAAAGGTAAGAAAGAGCCCAGTTATACAGGGCATTTTTTTTTTAAAGCTCTACTGTTCTTCACTAGGAAGTCATTGGTTAGATAAAAGTCATATACTGTTAGGATTGGAAAGGATCTTGAGGACTTAGGTGGAAGGAGGCAGTGGAGTACAGGGGAATGAACCCCAGCTCTGCCATTTTGCTACCTGTGTGACCTTGGGCAAGTCAGTTGACATCTATGGATTTCAGTTTCTTGCTCAGTAAAATGAAGGTCTCAGATCAGTTGGCCTCTAAGGCACCTTTCGGTTTTTCAGTCTTTGAAACTATGATGTGTACAACTCATTGCATAGAGGCATAAAATGAGGCTCCCCAAGGGAAGTACCTTATCCATAGCTACATATTTTTCTAATTAGTGGCAAAATCATGACGAGAACCCATGTCTTCAGACCACTGATGTTTTTCTTTTTAAAAAATTTCCTTTTTATTATTAATTCCTAATTAACCACTGCCATCACAGTGATCTATCTTGCAATCACTAGGACAAAGACTCAATTGAATTTTAAGAGGAAATGTGTGGATTCATAAAGGCCAAATTTCCTTCCTCCAAATGAAAGACACAGAAAGACAGAGAAGGGGGGGGAGGAGAGAGAGAGAGAGAGAGAGAGAGAGAGAGAGAGAGAGAGAGAGAGAGAGAGAGAGAGAGAGAGAGAGAGAGAGAGAGAGAGAGAGAGAGAGAGAGAGAGAGAGAGAGAGAGAGAGAGAGAGAGAGAGAGAAGAGATTTAAGGATGAGAATTTCCAGGGGCCACTTACCCTAAGGGTCTAGCTATATGACACTGGCCAGGTCACTTTATGTCTCTGGTTCTCATTTTTCTCATATTCAGCTTTATAGGTCTGTGATTTCATTCATGTCTTCCTTGCACTAAAACAGATAGACATTTCTTTTTGCTCTTAGTATTTGGCCTCTTTGAGAGTTGTTGTGGCAGAAAAACAGAATAAGAGGATGTACCTTTCTGAACTTAGCCGAGTTGGTCCTTAGGCAACAGTCACACATGTTTTATCCACAGGGTCTCTGCTCAAAGCCTTTCCCATTCCATAGGTTGTGTTTTCTAAGACCCAAGGTTATAATGCCAAAGTCCAGCGTGGTATCAGAGGAGGATTTCAGTAGAGGGTCTGTCTAGAATAACTGTTCAATTTACTTACTGCATAACTGTTGACAAGATCTTTCACTTTTTGGTGGGAAAGTAAGGGAGGAAGCTGGAGATCAGTAGAGACCTTCAAATTGAAGAATTTCCCAATCAGATTTATAGGACACAGAGAATTTCTATGTCATATACTCTTGAGTCCCCAATTAAATTGAAGAGTTCCCCAATCAAACAAAAAGACACAGGGGACTCGATAATCAGTTGACAAAAGAGCAGTTTCCACCCTTTCTCATAGAAAAGTAACCTGTCAAACTCTTTAGCTCTCACAGGTGTTGAGGACTTGACCTTACCATTTCCTTTGCTCTCCATTTCAAAGAGCAGTTGGGGTGAGGGAGGACAAGAAGATTTGGGTCCTTTAACCCCTAACACTAGGAGTAACAACGGCACCTTATAGAAAGACATCATAGGAGATGTGCTTGCATATGACCTGAGAGGGGAATTCAAGGACGTTCTTCCTGAAATCCAACTTCCTATGTAAAAGATTGTTGTCATTGAGTGGTTTCAAGTCATATCTGACTCTTCCTGACCCCATTTGGGGTTTAGGATTTTTAATTCTCCAGGAGGCATGATCCCAGAGTCTAGACTTTTAGTAGAGAATAGACATTTCCTGGGCAGCACCAACTTGGAGATTGCCTTGTGAGTAACCCCAAGTTCAAGAGTTACTTGTTTTAAACATTTAAGCACCAAACCAACTAGAGAGAGATTTTCAATGCAGTATTCTTCCTGAAGAAAGAATGGGACAACTTACATGATGCCATTACAGCAATCTACTTGGTGACCGAAGCCCATGAATTACTCAGACATTACAGGTCTAATGTGAAAGGGTCAGTTCGTTCGGCAAGCTCCAAATATGTTTACTTTGGGGGCCATGGATCTAAGCTACAGGGAGGTACTATGAATTTTGGAGAGTCTCTGCAGGGCTCTGTGGGAAAGGACTCATCAGAATCATAGAAGGTTACTCAAACAACAACACCAATTTCAGTTCCCTTCTTGGGGGCCAGAGGATGTAGAAGGGGAACTTTAGGGCTGAGAAGCTATTTGAGGATTATTTCTGCTTTTTTCATGAGCCCCTATGAGTCCTTAGGGCTCAGTGTCACCCATTTTCTGAAGGCTGAAGTAAAAGACGTATCATATCCCATAAGCCTATCATACATTGAGTGCCTAATGCAAGATTTGATAACCCTGCCACTCACATCTGGGACATCCTGGACATCCTAGAAAGAAGAAGACATCCATGGGCAGGGCTTCTATCAGCAAACAGCATTGAATTCCTTCTATGAAAGTTGGGATCAATCTGCAGGGACTTTGCTTTCCTTGGTGAGTTCCCAAACCTTTGATGTTTCTATCTGAAAAGAACAGAGGGCAATTTGCCTGTGATTGGTCTTATTCACTTGATTCAGTTCTCCTTAAATTTAATAATATGAAAAAAATGGATTGGGATGGAGAGGGGAGAAATTAAAAAATAAAATAAAATAACATAAAATAAAAACAGGCTTCCTGTTTGGCTGAATGATTCTGTTTTTGAGCATGAGGGAATGAAGTTATCAGGGCCATGTCTTCCCATTATCCACTGTGGTGGGTTAAAAAGTTTCAAAGAAAATGGATAGAAGGCAAGATCTAGTGGAAAAGGCACTGAACTGGTAAGTCTCTGGACTTGGATTCAGGAGTCATATGTGCTATTTATTCTTGTCTGATCTTTGGCAAGTCACCTAAGTTCTCAGAGACTCAGTTTCCTTATCTGTAAAATGAGGGGATTGGACTAGATTGGGAGTTCTTAAATGTGTGTGTGTGTGTGTGTGTGTGTGTGTGTGTGTGTGTGTGTGTGTGTTTGTGTGTGATGGATCTCGTTGGTGATCTGGTAAAAACTATGGAGTCCTTCTAGGAACAATGCTTTTAAATGCATAAAGTAAAATACATAGGATAACAAAGGGAAATTAATTATACTGAAAATCAGTTGTCAATTCTTTTTAACAAGTTCACAGATCCCAGGTTAAGAATCCCTGGATTAGATGATCTCTAAAGCTCCTTCAGCTCTAAACCTTATGAGTCACACTTCTCAAAAAAAGAAAAAAAACCCACCACCACCAAATCCTTGGATCTGTCTAAAGTCATTTGAAATCCAAATGGGTGGCTTCCCTTTTAATAAGAACATTAAGGGTCAGATGTCTGCTACTTACTAGCTGTGTTACCTTGGCCAAGTCATTTCCCTTCTGTCCCATGAGATGACCTCCGATGTTCTTCCACCTCTAATAGCCTGTGATTGTATCTGCCACTGAAGGCTGTGATTTGCTATTGTCAGGCTAGTCAGCCATTGGAGCTGAGCTCTGCAGTGAAGGCAGTCCTAACCTTCCTCATGGACCATGAATGTGCTGCCGTCATTTGCGTTGTTTTTCCTTTGAATCTGACAGCAAGGGAAGCCACACAAAGTGTGGGTGGTCTGCATTTTCTGAAAAGACCTCATGGAAAGTGAAATGCTGACTCTCATTGATCTTCCAGGCTTAACCTCTGAAAACACAGTCCTAGATGAAATAGAGGATGCTGCTCAGTCAAGAAATCTTTCATCCTGTACTCCTGGTCATTCTGGAAACAACCCTCAATGTGGGTTGTTTTTTTTTTATCAGGGTCTTAAATAGCTAGATGGCAAGCCTCCCCCTCCCTTGCCGCCTGCAGGCCCCCACCCCTGATTCATAACCTTGTGCAGCTGGGGTTCTGCCAGGGTGAAAAAAGCTACACGCTCTGAGCTAGCGAGAGAGCTATTCTCCAACAGCCAGGCTCTTGTTCTCCACTGCACCCCACTTTGAAGTCAATGGGAGCTCTGTGTGCAGGCAAAAAATGCATGGGGGAGGTGTTGAAGGGAAGGAGAGACTGGACCCTCGTGTTTCTGGCCCAGACCCGGAGCAGATGTGCCAGGAATCTCACTGGGAAGCTTGTTTGGGGGAGTTTTCTGGTGTGATTTGTTCAGATTCAAGAGGTTTGGAATGGCTTTAGATAAACCTCTAACCTCTTGGTTGCTGATCCAGGCCAATGAAACTCAACTATGAACCCTCTGAGGTTCACTCATCCCCACTAGGAAGTTTTTCAATCTTATGGAGAGAGCCTAGGCTCGATTCATTCTCAGCAGGTACAAGGGGAGGGGGTGGAGTGGGGAAAGGTTGTCCAGAAGAACCTGACCACTAGAAGCTGTTGAAGATCCTTGTATTCTTTCATGAACCTTCACACCTTCCATGTCTTTTGCCCTCTGAATTGAACTGGAGCTTGGATACTTTCCTTAGCCAGTGGTTTTCAAAATTAAAGAACATCTGGTCTAGTGGGTTGGCAGGAAGCCTAATAAGCTGGATCTTATGCCTTTTCCATAGTGGTCTTAGGTGATCTGATCTGAAGTCCCTTCATAACCTGTCCCCCCATCCTTCCCAATTTTTTCATTCTTCTTACATCTTACCCACCCCCTTCTCTTCAACTTTGATATAATGAGTCTGGATTCCTTGATTCTTCTCAGACAAGATACTCCATCTTCTGACTAGGAATTTTCACTGGCTGTCCCCCATGTCTGGAATCCTTTTCCTCATCTCCATTTCTTGGCTTCCATGCTTTCCTTTAAGTCCGATCTAAAATCCCACTTACTGCAGGAAACCTTTCCTGATCCCCCTTACTACTAGTGCCTTCCTTCTGTTGATTATCCTCACTTTATCCAGTCTATATTTTGCTCTCCATTGTTGTTTGCATGTTGTCTTCTCCCATTAAACTGTGAGCTCCTTGAGGGCAGGGAGCACTGGATAGATCACTGGGCTTGGAATCAGAAAGATTCATCTTCACGAGTTCAAATCTGGCCTCAAACACTTATTAACTGTGTGACCTGGGACAAGTCATTTAACCCTGTTTGCCTCAGTGCCTCATGTGTAAAATGAGCTGGAGAAGGAAATGGCAAAGCATTCCGGCGTCTTTGCCATGAAAACCCCAAAAAGGATCATGAAGAGTCAGACATGACTTTTGCCTTTCTTTGTATCCCTAGAGCTTAGCAGAGAGCCCGACACATAATAAACTTAATAAATGCTTACTGACTAACTGAGTGAGGAGACTGGAACAGTAGTCTCGTGAATTTTCTCCTTGTCATACCCTCTCAGGACAGACAAACAGCCAGGGTAACCTCCATGAAGAGAGGCTGTCTATCTGTTCACTTCCATCTCTACAATGCAATGTATATAGAACTGTGGATCTAGACCCGATTGTTCTTCCAGCTCCACCTTCCTCAAACCAGCAAAGAAAGGCCAACAAGATAATGAAACGTACACATGGAGACAGAAAGAGATGGGATGAAAAAAGAGCCAGTGAAAATCAGAACAAGAGTTAATTAAAAGACTCATATAACCACAAAAAGAAGGTGAATATTCCCTTTCAGGATCACTGCTTCAAAGTCATATGATGGTTTCTTCATTGATTTCTGTTATCACTGCAAGATCTCAGCTCACGGTCTACTTAGTGTGGTGCAATGTAGCTTCCATCAATGCTCGATGACATTTCATTTCAAGGCAGGTATCCTACAGTAGCAGTTCTCAGACATTTTGGTCTCAGGATCCCTTTAGCCTCTCAAAAATTATTGAGCACATGAATAACCTTTTGTTTATGTGGGTTATTGTCCATCACTATTTACCATATTAGAATTTAAAACTGATCAATTTAAAAATATTCATTTAAAAATAATAAACCCATCACATGTTTACATAAATAATGTATTTTTTAATGAAAAATAACCGTATTTTCCCAAACAATAAATTTTGTGAAAAGAGTGGCATTGCTTTACATGCTTTTGTAAATCTCTCTAATGTCTAACTTAATGGAAGACAGCTGGACTCTCATATCTGCTTCTGCATTCCGTCTGTTGCTATATGTTGTTTTGGTTGAAGTACATGAAGACAATTTGGCCTCACACTGAAATGTAGTTGGGAAAAGGAAGCATGTTTTAATAGGCAAATAATGTCTTAGTGTTATTATGAAAATATTTTTTGACCTTGTGAATCTTCTGCCAAACACATTTTGAGAACTGCTGTTCTACAGTATTATAGATCTCACTCATGGTATCCCCTCCCCTACACAAAATTCTGTCTCACACCCCTCCCCAGGCATCCATTCTAAATATAACTGTAATTAGGTTGTATTCAAGTGAAGAAAACAGTACCAGGAAAACAGTATATATAATAACAACAATGTATAGCAATAGGAAGCTGTTCAGTCATGTCCACCTCTTAATGACCCCTTTTGGGGTTTTTGTGGCAAAGATGCTAGAGCAGTTTGCCATTTCCTTCTCTAGCTTGTTTTACAAATGAGGAACTAAGGCAAACAGGGTTAAGTGACTTGCCCATGCAGCTAGTAAGTGTCTGAGGCTGGATTTGAACTCATGAAGACGAGTCTTCCTGATTCCAAACCCAGTGCTCTATCCACTATGCCACCTAGCTGCCCATAGCAGTAGGAAAGAATAATAACAAAATAACCAAAACTGAATATTTTGAAATTGTAATGACCAAAGTTGGCCCCAAAGAAGAAGAGATATAAGAAGACACCTTCTCTGGTTGCCCCCATTTTTGCAGAGGTTGGAGTTCACAGATGTGGAACATTTCATTCAACATCAGGTTTTCACTGTATTGATTAATGTCACTGAACTTTATCCCCTTTTTTCATTCTTTGTTATAGGACACAAGTAACTCTCTGGTAAGCAGAGGGAGAGGTATGCATTGGGAAACTTGTGTGATGTGAAAATAAAACATTGTCAATGAAATTTTATTTTTAAAAGTACATTTATTTATGACTACGTAATGAAAACCCTTCCCTGGTCATCACACCCTACACGTTCACATAGATATGATGAAGAAGCATTGAGGAAAGGAATGAGAGTCAAGCCAAGCTGCCAACCATGGAGGGATCTTAGTGGTTACATACCATAACCTTCTTCCCAAAGTAGAAATTCCAACTACAACCTCTGGTCACCTAACATCTGCTTTAATACTTCTAGTAACAGGGAACTCACCCCTTGGAGAAGCTTCCTGTTCCAGTGTGGGATGGAAATCTGACATAGTGGAATAAGCCCTAAAATGGAGTTAAGAGATCTGGCTCTATGGTCTTGGCCAAGTCTCTTTGCCTCTAATCTTCATTTGCTTCTTCTATAAAATTATGATGATAATGCTTATACAGCTTACTTCATAGGGCTGTTGGGTGAATAAAATAAAATAACTTTTTTTTTTTTGCTGTTAAATAAAAGTGTTAGAATGTAGGCTCATTCTCCACAGGCTCACTGAAAGTATCCTTGGGACAACTCCAGTAGCCAG